ATTAAGTAGAGGAACCTGGCAAACTCCCTTGGTGAGTCATAGCTCCTGCTGGTGAACATGTGGTCCAGACCTGGGGGTCTGACTTTTGGGCAAAGTAGCTCCAATAGCTGGGTAATGTGTCAATTGGTAATGGAACAGGGTGGACTGGGCAGGACTGAGCAAACCTTAGCCCACAAGCGAAACTAGAGACCAGGACGTAGCACAGGTTATGCTGAGCTAGGCTCTTGCACCTACTGGTCTGTGTGAGCCAGGAACGCTAAGCCACAGTGTCTAAGGCAGAGGTCAGGACAGGGGAGGGGCTGAGCCAAGATGAGTCAGAACATCCACTGGCTTGCGCGTGATCTATGGCTGGGAATAGGCCCGGTTGGGGAGCTAAGGGGACAACCCTAGCTGAGTTGAGGTTCCCACTAAGGGGCGCGTGGCCTGGAATGGGGGCTGCATTCTGAACGGGAAATGGTTGTAGTCTCCCTTGGCATAAATGTGGACTGGGATTGGATGCACCAAGCTGGGCCAGACTCCAACACCCTCTGCTGTCCTGGAGGGCCAGGGCAGATGTGGGATGGACTAGGATAGGTCTCAACCCCTACTGAGTCATGTGTGAACCATATGTGGGCATGGATGAGCCATGGCTAGGCTGAAACATCCAACAGCAAGGATCAGTTTGGTTGAAGGCCAGTCAGGAAAAGCCATTGTTCCTGCTATGACAGGAGGTGACCTGAGGAGGGCTGGCTCATGGACCCACTGGTATGCACAAAGTCTGGCATTGGGAGAGGTTCTGATGGAGGAGCCTGGGCAACTCCTCTGGCAGGACACAGACCTAATGGGTAAGCGCAAGAAACGTGATAGGAAACAGCCCATAACAGGCCATGGAAAGTTACCCACTGGCATACAATTGGCATGGGTCGGGGGAAGACCAGGCTGAATCTGTTCACATCATCCACTGGCAAATCCAAGAACCAGAACAGTGTGGGTCGAGCCAGGTCTGGTCACGACAAGGACTAGTGCACAATATGGAATGCCAAGGTGATGTTGCCTGTACTGGTTGTGACCGCAGCATGGTCACATGCTGATGGTTCTGACCCATCAGCATGCATGAGAATCAGGAAGGGAAGGGATAGAGCCAGCAGAGGAATATGGGTTGGTTCCTTTGCTGGACAGCTACTCCCACTGGAGAGCATGAGCTGGGATGGGGGCTTTTATCAAATGCTTTCTCTGCATCTATTGAGACTATCATATGATATTTGCTCTTTAGTTTCTTGATGTGGTATATTATATTTGTAGATTTGTGTTTGTTAAACCATCCCTGCATGCCAGGAATAAATCTCTCCTGGTGTGGGTGAATGATCTGTCTGATGTATAGTTGTATCCTACTGGCTAGTATTTTGTTGAAGATTTTAGCATTGATACCCATCAAGGATATTGGTCATCTTTGATACTATTAATTTTTGTCTTCTCCTGCATTTTTTTTTTTTTTTGCTGGTTGGGCTAGTGGGCTAGTTGTGTTTATTTTCTCAAAGAACCAAGTCTTTGATTTATTGATTTTGTGTATTGTTCTTTCATTTCTTCTCATTTTGATTTTTTTTTGTTTTCTTGGTATTACTTGCTTTTGATTTTATAGCTCTTCAGGTGTATTCTTTTGCACTGAGATACATTGTGATCCATCCAGTCTATTGTCAAATTACAGGGCCGTTTCAACATGTGACAATTAATCATTATAATTTTCCACACGAAATGGAAAAGGAAAAACAGATCAACCCAACACATTTGGATAATTGCAACATCTGCTCTTGATGAAAACTTCAAACATTACAGGAATAAAAAGGAATTATTTAAATTGATAAAGGAAAACTAGAGGAAGCCTGCAGCTAGCATCATGGTTAACGCAAAAATACTGAGTTCTTTCTTCTGAAGCCCAACATTGAGGCAAGAATTTCTGCTCTTAGTATTTCTATTTGTATTGTTGTTTCTCCACAGTGCAATGAGGCCATGTGTAAAAAGCTTTACAAATTATTTAGTTGAAAGGCAGAATAAGTGGGGGTGTACTGGAGAAGCAGGTATACACATGCAAAAAGGGAAAGATAGAAATAGAGAGACAAAGAGAGAGAGTGAGAAACAGAGAAAGAGTGAGAGACAATGAGAGACAGAGAAAGAGAGAAAACTTTCATCTCCTGATTCCCAACCCAAGAGTGCTGGGTCTAGAACAGGTTAAAGCCTGAAGTCAGAAGCTCTATCCAGGTCTCCCTTGTGGTGGCAGGGCTTCAAGCATATGGGCTGTTATCCAGTGCTGTTCAGGAATGTTAGCAGGTAGTCAGATCAAAAGTGCAGAGTAGCTAGGATTTGAACCAGGATGTTGGTGTCCCAGGCAGCAGCTTAGTCAGTTGCACCACAAAGCCAACCCCCATGAACTGAAGCTTTGGTAAGAATGAGGCATTTTATTTCTCTGTAGTATCTTTATAACATGTTTTACTTACAGCTCCCCCATCACTTTATGAATGTGCTTTTCAGTATCCCTCACCTACCCAGGGTGAACGATGCCTTGAAAACCCTTTGTGTCTTCGGAAAATTCAAGTTTCAGTGTATGTTTCTTCATTGTTACATTTAGTTACTATTTCATGCACTTCTTATTACTTGTGTGTTTTCTAGCATGAAAATTATTCTTACTTTTTTTCTGGTTTTGTACTGAAGTAGGATTTATTCATAATGATATATGTTGAACACACACATGGTTTGGAATCATTTAACATGTCAAGCATCTGTTATATTTGTCAATATTTATAATAATTAAAATGATTCATGTTAGCTTAAATTATGAAGGATGCAAAAGGAAAAAGAACATTTCACCAGCCAAAGGAAGCCATTATTTTGCTGTGAATTTATTTTCATTAACCATAATTGCTATTATTGATTACATATTTTTTTTAGCTTAAAATTAATTTTGTTAAAATCTCATTGTTTGGACATTCATGGTACATCTGGAATGATAATAACTCGTGGGAACATCTGCTACTGTTCTCAAGAGTGTAGTTGCACAAAACCCAGCACTTAGGTCATACTGAATGAGCCCTGTGCAGTATTCCTTTTTCTTTAAAAAAAAAAAAAAACCTCTGTTTTTAAGCTCACAGATAAGATTGTGTCTTATTTTTTGTGTTCATTGTGAAGCTTGAACTATTTATGCATTGTAGAATGAGTATAATTGCTACTTAACAATTACACTGCATCATGCAGTTATGATTTTTCCACTCTCAGCAGTTTTCAAGAATACAATATATGGTTATTCAATGTTGTCACCAGGTTGGACACTAGACTTCTTGAGCTTATTCTTCCTGTGTAGCTGCTGATTGGTGTCTGCTCACTCTCCACTACCCAACTGTTCCACCTCTGGTGATCACATGGACTTCTTATTTCCATGACAGTCACTTATGTCAGGTTCTACATGTGAGTGGGATTTTGAAGTATTTGTCTTGGTATGGCTGCCTTACACTCTTTCAGGTCCATCCATGCTGTTGGAAATGATGAGGCTTCCTTCTTTTAAACAGCTTCATGACAGTCCATTGTATATATCCACCACGTTTTTATTATTCATTCATCTGTTGGTTGTTTATGATGCTTCCACATCTGAGCTATAAGGAGTGTGCCATAATAACTATGACAATGCCTAAATCTCTCTTATGTATTGATTTCATTTCTTTGAAAATATATCTAGTGGTGGGTTTGCTAAATCACGTGAATAATTCTGCTTTTTCTAAATCACATCAGCTGTTAGTAATTTGAAGATGAATTTGGAGCTATTTTTGCAAACAGTTGCTTGGTGGAATTACTTAAAGTCAAATTATTTTGGAAAGATGGATGATTACAAAAGGCATCTGTTTGTTCATCATACTTTTGGGCTACTTTTCTATGTAAAGAGGGAAAATCTTGATTTTTTTTTACCCTTATTTTGCTCTGCTCTTAATATACTCTTGGGAACTCCTTAAAGTCGTGTTACTTTGGTGCGGATTTCTTCCTCATTTATTTTTCTTGAGTAATTTGTGCTGGGAAAAATTCAAACAAAAAACAAAATAAAAAAAATCAAATAAGATACAGAATAGCTGTGCACACCTTACATGTTGGACAAGGAACTACCTGCCAGGTTGGAACCCAAGGCCCTGTGGGTAGACATACTTGAGTAGAATAAGTTCTGATACCTGGGGATACGGCTGAGAAGGTGATGTTGAATATTTGCACTGTTGCCAGTGGTAGGCATTTGGCATCTTTGGAAAAGTCAAAGTAACAATGGAAAATTTTAAGGGTACGTTCTCATTTTTCTTCATTTCAAATTATTTCCCTATTTTTTTCAATTTCTTTATCTTCAAAATGCCTTTGTTGCTGGAATTGATTTTGACTAAATCTCACAGACATCCCAGCAGACGGCCTCCTTTAGACATGCTGTCATCTCTTTTAGTATGTGTGCTGCCAAAGCGAGCACATACTGTCATTTCTTTAGGGAAACTTGTTTAATGTTCTAGTTCTATCATTCGTCCTAACTGAAGCAATAAGCAGGTTCACAGGCAAGCTCACTTCCTTTTCCAAACCATATCAACTACTCCTTGGGCTTATGGGTAGCAAAACCGGCCTGATGGAAAGGAAGCGTTTGAGTCTTAGTAGATGTATTGGAAAACGCCAGGCATGGGCACTTCCTGTAAGGGTGAAGGCACTTCCTGTAAGGGTGAAGGCACTTCCTGTAAGAGTGAAGAGTGGGAGTTCTTCATATTGGGAGTACTTTGATTTTTTTCTTCACTAAACATGCGGATGTGTGAAGGTCTGTGTGGTCTGGAGAGCCTTGCAAGGAGTCTGACACTTCTGTGGGTCGGAGTGAGGCTGACACTGAGCTTACAGGACACAAGCCACACGGTGCAGCTAGGTTTCCCCAGCAAGAAGCTTGCAAGCAGTCATTTCCTTCTTCAGGACAGAGCTATTAACACGTGCCCCCTCCCCACTCAGGTACCAGCCGGAGGTTATACTTACCCATTTTCCACATCCTCAATGGTGTTAGGAAGAGGCTGATTCTTGGTTTCCGGAAGGCAGAAGACAAGTAGTCCAGAAAGAATGGGGAATACTCCATACATGATCCAGGGCAGGTGGGGAGAATACACGATTAGAGTCATTAGGAGCGGAGCCAGGACTGCTCCCATTCTAGCGAACACATTGTTGATTCCAGAAACCGTTGACCTTTGTGTGCAAATAACGATACAAGGAAAATCTGTACAAGTCTGAACACACATTTATCACCTTCATTATAAAGAACAGTTTGGCAGAGCTATCCAGCTAGCAAGCTCTGATCTTAAAAGTGACATTTATTATTTGGCAGTATTAAGGCAAATTCAGAACTTCAATTTGTTGCTATTATGATAGGGATAAAAGTAGCACCAATCCTGCAGAGTGGTTCTTAAGACAGTGAGATGATCTGTTAAGGAACCTGGCACATTATGACAGGTATAAAGTTAGATTTAATCGAGTAACTGAAGCCTTCATTTACACTACAATTGACTTCTCTGCCGTTTAAACAGTGTCTGATTTATTTCCGAAGTAAATGTGCATTATTCCAGCTAAGTCCCATTTGGAAGCCAGAAAGATGATCTTTTGGGTTTGGTACCTGAACACTGTAGGGATGAGCTCCATAGTGTGGACAAAAAAAGTAGCATTGCCAGCAGAAGTAACACCGATTCCCAAGGCAGCTAACACCACACGCAGAGTTTGCATTTCTGGAGAGAGGAAAACAAGATGAATCAGGGAATCTTGGTAAAGAAATCTGTCCATCTCTAAATACTAGTGAGAAGATTCTTGGGAGGTGTGTGGGTTTCAGGTGTGAAAACTGATATGCAAATAGCAGCCTCCCAGAGGCTGGTGCTTGGAGGAATGTGGATTGCAGAAAATCATGGCTTAAATGGCGAATGAAGTGATCTCAGTGAGTTGCTTCAACTCCTACTGCATATTCGATTAATTTTGTTTGTGTTACTTGTCCCGTGCCCTGTCCTGTTAGGCATAGATGTACACGTAGGTATTAACTGAGGAATTCATGGCCAACATCTTGAGTGGTTTAAAACCAAGGGTGAAGGGAAGAATTTTTGATGTGGGGCAAGTGTGTTACCGACAGTAACAAGTGGATTGTGTTTGTCTGGGACTAGACAGTGTGAAGAGATTCAGGATCTAGACTGATTCAGAACTATTTGGAGACAAGCAATGTCGTCCTGAGAGAACTAAAACAGGTGCTTATGAAATTCATTTGAGGGGGTGGCGTGTTGCCTCAACTCATAAATCCTGCACCTCCAAGTACCTAGATACTAGATGGGCACTTTTTCGTGTCCCAGCTGCTCCACTTCCCATCCAGCTTCCCGTCTGTGGCCTGGGAAAGCAGCAGAGGATGGTCCTAAGCCTTGAGAGCTTGCACCCATGTGGGAGACCCAGAAGAGGCTCTGGGCTCCTGGCTTCGGATTGGCTTGTCTTTGGCTGTTTTGGTGATTTGGGCAGTGAACCAGTGGGTGGAAGATCTTTCTCCCTGTCTCTTCTTCTCTCTGTGAATTTGTCTTACCAATAAAAAATATTTAAAATATTAAAATTTATTTAAAATATTTAAAAATTCATGAGAAATAATTTTAAGATGTTATTAAATGATGGAGAGGGCTCTTCTATAAGTCTCTAGGTTTGTGTCAGGAAGAGCTGAGCCCACCAGGCTGGGGTACAGAAAGATAAATTTCTGCTTTGGGAACATGGCTAAGTTCCCATAATTACCACGGAAGTTTATTCAATTACTTGAGTAAAACAGATTTTAAAGAGTCTGAGTTTATTTATCAGTCTGGTCCTTGTTTAGATGCAGATTATAAAAGAAGGTAAAAAAAATGGAGGGAGATTAGACACTCCCCTTGTTCCTAGCATGCACTTCTCTTAGTGAAAACAGGATTTTTATTTCCTTGTAGTTGGGGGCTTCTCTTCAATTGTTGTGGAGTTGTGGTTACTCAAATGCCAATTGCAAAAGAGAATATGAAAAGGTGTGCGTGAATAAGGCGGGAAGGCCTTCAAACTCAGGGTCTCAGATGCTAGAGGTGAGAGAACACTGTGTGCCCATCCGTGATGCAGGTGCAATGCCTGCACTCTCCACCAGCATTTAGCTACTCCGAGAGTGTTGAAAGGCAAGTGCTGTAAATGAAGGACTTGTTCTGTGCAGTGGGAACTGGCGTCCAGGTAATCCTGCCTGTGGTGGAGACATCAGGCTATTTGAGCCACACCTTGCTAACACAGGCTCAGTGGAAATCCACTTCTGAGTTACTATGATTGGTTTCACACCGTTATGTCAACTTCATGTCATCCTTCAAGTTTCATTGTCAATGACATTATATTTTGGCATCAGGGATATAAAACCCACGTAATTCTTCAGGATTTAGGGAAACCACTTGCCCCCCAAATTCCTGGCTCTCTCACCTTGGAACAAAAAGGTGTTGAGCAGAATGCAAAGTCCTACCAGGAAGTAAAACAATGACTGATTTATGCGACGATCCAAGTGTTTCATTATCAAATGGTCAGAACATCTGGATATGAGTGTGACAGCTCCAAAGAGAACCTGGAACATGAAGATACTGCTCCCCAAGTCCTGCAGGTTGAGGATCAGGCCCATAAAGGGTACAGTGGCTCCCAGTCTGAGGTGAATAATGGAGTAGAGACAAATTTAATAAGGTTTTGAACCGAAGAAATGTTGCTTACAATTTTGAAATTTCTACAGTTGATGATGCTATTATCCCAATAGGGTGAAGTCAGTTCGAAAGAAGATGTTTTATCTTGCTTCATATATATATGTATATATATATTTACTTATTCATTTTTTAAAGCAAGATCTAAATAGAAAATCATGATGAAACATGGTGTCAGATGGACCCTAAGGTGCAGTTTTCTTGAGGCCCCAGGAAATGAGGTATTAAACATGCAAGCATCCCGAAAACATACAGAAAAAGTAATAGGAAATCTGAATCCATCACTCAACTGGAACCTGTAAGGACTTGAGCATAGATAGGATTATATGTTAGGCACTAGTGTTATCATTCTGTAAGAGTCTTCCGTGCTTTTCAGCATGGAGACGTGCTTCACTTTAATCCTGGAGCGTGAGGCTGCAAGAGCAGATATAGGGAACAGCTTTCCGTAAGTTTCTGAGATAGAAGGATATAGAGGCCAGTTTTAGGCAATTTGAGAACCAGAAGTGGTGAAAATATTCTAATAGTATCTTATAGTTGAGGCAAGGAAACTGACAACTAAGTATATGTCCAGGGACATGTTACGGACACATGGATTTGTTCATACTTTAGTAAAGGCTCTGGAGGAGACCTGAACTTGAGTTATGGACATGTCGGGGCTGGTCTTTGTTGGATAGTAGGCTAAAATGTTGTACCCAACGCTGGAATTCCATGCTGCTGCACTGGGTTGAGCCCTTGCTCCTCTTTTCTGATTCAGCTCCCTGCTAATGCACCTGGGAAGGCAACAAAAATGTAACCCAGGTAATTTGGGAGCCCTGTTACTAAATTGGGAGACTTGAATAAAGTTCCTTGACTCTTACCAGGCCCATTCTTGATCCTAGATGATGTCATCTATGGAATGAACTAGTGGATGGAAAAATCTCTCCCACACAACTAAATTTGATTTTGAAATAAATGAATAATTAAAAAATGTACATATATGGTTCCATTTATATGAAATTAAAAAACAGACAAAAAATAATCTGGTGGGGGGACTACAGTTAAGAATATTTGGCACTTCTGAACAAGGTCTTGTGACCCTGCACCCTCGTGAAAGACCCAGAAGAGCTCCTGGCTTCAGACTGGCTCAGCTCCAGCAATTGCAATCACTTGGGGAGTGAACCATCAGACGGGAAGGTCTTCCTCTCTGTCTCTCCTCCTCTCTGTATAAATAAATCTTAAAAAAAAAAAGAAATAGACAAAGGATATGAGCAGGAAATATGCGAAGGTGAAATTGAAATGGCCAACAGATACATGGAAATGTGCTCAGGATTAGCAACCACCCGGGAAATGCAAATAGAAAACTGCAGTGTGGTGTCATCTCACTCCAGTTAGAATATCCTTCACCCCTCAAATTAAAAAGTAACAAATGCTTGTGAGATTTTGGGGTAAATGTGCCATATTTATGTTGTTGAGAGGAATACAAATTGGCAGAAACACTGTGGAGAAGTAGGGTGGGAGTCCTCGGCAGCTAACAATGGATCTGCCATATGACCCAACTATTTCCCTCCTGGAAATATCTTCTGTTTGTGGAAGACAGTATGCCCAGAGAGTATAAAAACTGTGTGATTGCCATACTGTACTGGTGTTTAGTTATAAAGATTGATTCACTAAGTCATGCCATGTAAATGACACTGCTCTTCTCTCACTGTGGTACGGTCACTATCAGGATATTACAAATATCACTTTGACATTAATAGTTTTTTCAAAATAAAATAATATTTATGTGTGTATATATAATGTCCCTATTTTAAGTGAATGTGGCAAAGTATTAAGAAGTAAAACAAATAAATCGATAATGATAACGAATGCTTAATATTTGCATTTTAACTTTGTTTTCTGCTCAGAAATTAAAAAAAATAAAAGTATATTTCATGCTAAAGCTTTACTCTCTAGTGAGAAACTCTAATGGAGTGTGTCCATGGAGCCTTGGTAAGTCCCACGGACTCTCAGGCTGGTAGAATAGCCTGCAACGTGGCACTTTAAGATAAACCTTTCTTATGTCATTTATTTTTTTCTTATGTATTCATCTATCACCAGAAGTGTTGCCAATACTTTTTAAAAGAATAAATAAAGTTGATTTCCAAAATTTTATGTTTGTGCATCATCCAATGAAGCTCACCTTACAAAGCCCAGGCAGCAGATTCTGAAGCGTAGTTTGGGTGCACGGAGCAGCTCCATAATGGAGGTTTTGGTCCGGGTTCTATCCAGCTCTTCCTTCATGGTGGATCTCACAAACTTCAACAATAACAACAGCAACATCAACAACAACAAAACAAGCATTTATGATACATCCATAGGCAACATGGTGAGTCTTAGTGGATGATAGAGAAATGGTGTCTACTACACTCACGGTATTTCTGTGTACTCCAATTATCTCATAGGAGGAGTGGCACCTCAGAGCAGTTGTACAGGAGAAATTTGTTTAAATACTGAACTTACAAAGGGAAGAAAGATTTATATTATAAAAGGAAAAACCACAAGAACTTGCTTCAGGTTTCACGATTTGTCCTAGACACAGAGCGAAAAACTTGTCTTTATCTAAAATAAGAGTGTTTCAGTTACAGCAATCAGCAAAAAAGACATTCTTCGCAAAATTAGAAAAATGTTAGAAGCACAGAAATGCCTGAATATTCGAAGCAATAATCTAAGCAAACAGAACAAAGCTGAAGGCCTCACAACACCTGATTTCATGACTTGATCCAGACCTGTAGAAGGCTGCATTAAAAGCAGATGTAACATGAGGCAGAATACAGACCCTAGAAATCCATGCCTCAGCAGCCAGCTGGTTCTGGAAGATGTGCCAAACGCCTTGCAAGCAAATGGCTTTTCTGAAAACTACACCCACTGAATCCTTAGGTTCTGAGAAATGCTGGTCTAAGAATGACAGCCGTGCAGCCTCCTCTCACGAAGGGAGTGCAGAGTTAACGGCAGGGAAAAGAGCAGACAATACATGAATGGAGCAAGATTTGAGCTCAGGCCAGTGCCGAGACAGGTAGAATACAGTAACTGTCAAGGAGTTTGGCACAAATCTGGCTTAGAATCTTAGTCCTGACACTTTCTATGTAACTTAATATCTCAGAGCATGTTGGTCAACAGGCATTGAACTATAGTGAGATCGGCGAAATAAATTCTGTTGTGCTATTTTTCGATAGAACCTGTAGGTAATGAGATCACTACATAAGAGTGCTTCACAAAGGTTTTGGAAAAAGGAAACAAAGGTTTATCTTGGTATGTAAACTGAAATTCATATGTAACTGTTCCATAGCACACATTTTATATGACTTTTTTTTAAAAAAAGAGATTTATGTATTTTTATTGGAAAGGCAGATTTACAGAGAGAAAGAGAGACAGGGAAAAAGACTTTTCCTCTGTTGGTTCACTCTCCAAGTGGCTGCCTCAGCCAGAGCTGAGCCAATCTAAAGCCAGGAGCCAGGAGCTTCTTCCGGGTCTCCCACACCAGTGCAGGGTCCCAAGTCTTTGGGTCGTGCTTGACTGCTTTCCCAGGCCACAAGCAGGGAGCTGGATGGGAAGTGGAGCAGCTGGGACATGAACCGGTGCCCACAAGGAATGCTGCAGGGTAAGGATCCCGCCATTGAGCCATTTTGCTGGACCCCTAGATGAACTTCTTAAAACCCCAGGGAATAGCAGTGATTGCCCAAGTAATGAGGTGCCTGCCACCTACATGGCAGACCTCGGTTGATCCCCTAACTCCTGGTTTCATCTCCATCCTTTTGGAGAGCGAACAAGCACATATGAATTTTATCTTTTGATTCCCACCTTTAACCATATTCTCTCTCTCCTCCCTTCTCTCTTTATCTCTTCCTCTACTGTATAAGTAAACAAGATAAAAGCATATCTTAAGACGAAGTTATATAGGTTGTAAAGTCAGATAAAGGAGAATTTTTTCATGTGAAAACTGTAGTGGCTGCCTTTGAAACACAGCCCCCAATATCACTTCCTGATAGTCACATGTCTGTGTAATTCCCTCTTTCTGAGTGTGGAATGCTTTTGAAAGCAGAATATAGCAAAGTTGTTAGATGGGTGGATTATAAAACATTGCCCCTTATGTCACACATACTGGGTCTTTTCTCCAACGGTATACCTGAAGAAGCAATGTCACTTTGGAGAGACCCATATGATAAGAAATGAGGTCCTTAGTCCAGCAGTCTGAGAGGTGCTTCATCCTTTCAAAGTAGAGGGAGCCGTCTCCACGATAACATCATGTTGGCAGCTAAGACCTTTTGGCAAGTTGTGAGAAGCTGTCTAGGAGATGTGCTGGCTAATATGATATTTGAAGCCATTATATTTTGGGATCATTTGTTCCATTGCAATTGTCAACAACTGCTAGTGTAGGTCTGGGGATGGGTTTGTAGTTGGGAAATGGACATAGGGTAGCAGGATGTTTTACTTCAGGAATTTGGTAGAAAATGGAAGCAATGGATCAATTTATTTTTGGTGCAAGAAATTTTAAGTCTGTGCACAGTTTTTTTTTTCTTTTAATAATATGCAACTCCATTGATCGCTTTGAAGATCCTTTTGTTTTATTACACGATTGTAGCTACCCTCTGGATCTTGAGCAGGTTGCTTCTGAGGGTCAGTAGAAGTGAGAAACATGCAATTGAAAACTGGAGACAGGGGAGTCCATGTTAGGAATGATACAAACTTTAATAAGATCATTATCTGTAGTTATGTGGAAAACATGACATGGACTTAACAAACTTGACTTTCAGCTAAGGAAATGTTTCAGTCAATGTGTGGATGAGGTCTCTATTTCTTCTTACTGCCAATGGTAAAAATAAGAGAACAAAGGGAAACTGTCAACAAAAAAGGAGCTGGTTTGAGTTTCATTAGGAAAATCAAATTTTTACTTCAAAAATTCTTGGAAAAATGGAATTAAAAGATAAGTTTACTTTGGAATAAAAATGTCCCGACATTGCAACGTAATTTATTTTCATAAGATGCACCTTCTACCACAAGTTTGAAGTGTCCTTGTATTATCTCAGATTTTTCAAATGGCAAGTGAAGCTAACATTAATGAAGTGCTGTTAGGAAAACATGTTGTATTATAATGATAAAGTCCAGCTGTGAATGTGTCATGCTTTTTTTTTTCTTTTTAAGTTTCAGCTCACTTTAATGGACCCACAGTTAGTGAACATATTTGTAGAGTACCATATGAAGCTTGGATACATGTATATACATTGTAAGATGATCATAGCAGGGCAATTAGCATATCCATTGCCTCATATATGGCATTTATCATATTCTCATAAAAATCAAACGGTCAGTTTATCATTCAGAAGTATAAGATGCTTTAAAGAAATTAAAGATGTGCCTCTTCAACAGGCTACTTAAGTACACTTGTCTCTTAGTCATCTCAGCAGAAGTCTAAGTTAGAGAAATTATTATCTCAAAGGTATCTGTTGGTGTAGTCTTTAAAAAAAATGAGATTCAGGCCCGGCGGCATGGCCTAGCGGCTAAAGTCCTCGCCTTGAATGCACCGGGATCCAATATGGGCGCCGATTCTAATCCCGGCAGCTCCACTTCCCACCCAGCTCCCTGCTTGTGGCCTGGGAAAGCAGTCGAGGATGGCCCAAAGCCTTGGGACCCTGCACCCATGTGGGATACCTGGAAGAAGGTCCTGACTCCTGGCTTTGAATTGGCTCAGCTCCAGCCATTGTGGCCACTCTCTGTCTCTCCTCTCTGTATATCTGCTTTCTAATAAAAATAAATATTAAAAAAAAAGAAACTAGATTTGTTTATTGTGTTTGAGTACTGGATTCATTTGGATTTTCATGCACATTTTATTCTACAAGGCATTTGCTGTTAGGGTTTATACAAGGCTATATATTTGTTGTCTTTACCAATCAGTTTTCTTGCAGCAACGCTCTTTACTTTTTCTTTCTTCTTTTTTTTTTAACCAACTGATTTCTAATACTTTCTTGTCCATTAAAACTAGAAACTTCCTTGTGTCCTTTTAAAATGACTGTATATGGGCCCGGCGCAGTGGCGCAGTGGTTAAGGTCCTCGCCTTGCACGTCCGGGATCCCATATGGGCGCCGGTTCTAATCCCGGCAGCCCCGCTTCCCTTCCAGCTCCCTGCTTGTGGCTTGGGAAAGCAGTCGAGGACGGCCCAAAGCTTTGGGAACCTGCACCCGTGTGGGAGACCCGGAAGAGGCTCCTGGCTTTGAATTGGCATAGCATCGGCCGTTGCGCTCACTTGGGGAGTGAATCATCGGATGGAAGATCTTCCTCTCTGTCTCTCCTCTCTGTATATCCGCCTTTCCAATGAAAAAATAATAAAAATAAATCTTTAAAAAAAAATAAAATAACTGTATACAATCCTGTCGTAACACCTGTTCAATATAGTGATTTCTGAATTTTCGTGTTCAATAGTATAGTGTTACATTACTTGAAGGCAATTACTCTGATTTGATTATTAGTATATATTATCATGCTGGCACAATGTTGCTGCTTTAGTGCCTTTACATGAATTAGTGAGATATTGCTGAATGAGTCATGACGAGGGACTCCTTAAAAAACCATGGTTCTCAGAAGCTTGTCTGCACAGGTGAGGACATTGGGGAGCTCATTATCTGTGCTACCGCCACCACAGTGTGTGCTCAGCACATTACTTACATATGTTGCATAATAAATACATAGTGAATTATTGGGTAGATGTATAAAGTGAAAGAAATCATACTTCAATGTCATCTTCTACATGGATAATTATTCTTCCATTTGGAATTTGTGTTTCCCCAAAGGAGACTACGACTTGGTAAAATAGTGAGAAATGACCCATACTTACTTTCCTGTATATGGTCAGATAAGGGTATTTATAGATATTTATGTGCCCTCCTCCAATGAATTTAAATATCTATGTTCAACTTTTTCACTAAAGGAAAAATGTAGTTTTTTTCAATGCCTCCTCTCTACAATGATGAATTACAGAGACTCAGAACAGAGCTGTAATACCCCACCCTCAGAATCCTAATTCTGGGCTTGGAGTCTCCTGAGGGTCCCAGTCTAGGGAGATCGTAAGGTTATGGCACTTCGTCCCAGTCACCAGCCCCCCCTTCCCAGATCACCTCAATGGTCAAGATCTCTCCAGCGTTCTTTTTTCCGTTTAAGTGTGCCGCCCTTTTAAGTGCTTTCACACCCTCCTCCAGCTGATTGGTGGTAATCAGCCACCGAGCCGACTCCACCAGCCACCTGCTGAAAGAACACACAAACCACAGTTCAACTCAGCTGCTTTATTGTCTCTCAACCTTAACTTGAAGCGGCTTTTCACCTTTATTTAATCTAAGCACTATAACTTCTAGTAGAGTAACTTCTAACCAAATTTGCCTCCTCTAGTCTTAAGGCGAGATATGTATCCAACTAGCAGCAAGTGTGTTTAAGTAACCTTACAGGACAATGATTAATAAGAGATGATGCAAATCACTGATATCAGTTCTAATTTTATTAATGTGCCATTCAAATATCAAAATTAATACTTGTAAAGGATATAATTCAGTGGCTTAAGCAGCAATCACAAGGTTTCACAAGCATTCCATAATTCCAGAAAATTCTTGTTGGTGTCTATAGAAGATCCCATACAAGTTAGAAATTTCTCACAATTCCTTCCTCCTCCACCTCTAGGGATCATCTACTTACTTTCTGTCTTTATAGACTTTCCTATTCCTGGCACTTTATGTAAAAGGAATAATCCAATATGTGACTTTTGTGTCAGTCTATAAGACCAGTGTCACCCCTATGTCAGGATTGAAGACACTACTAACACGGAAGCCAATGCCCTTTATGAATATCGGTACAACAGCCATCCACTAAAGACTAGAGAACTAAGCAGCAAATTCAAAGGGTTATGCACCACGACTAAGTGGGATTGACCCTGGCATGCAAAGAAGGCTTGATATACAAAAATTTGTACCATATTAACAGAATTAAGCGTAAAAATTACATGATCATTACAAATGTGTAGGAAATATTTGGCAAAGCATGGTTTCATGACAAAAAAGACAAAAAGTAGGACACTTAGGACTAGAAGAAAATTTCTATAAAATAATAAATTTCCTACACATATTTCAGTTTCATGTCATTCAATCTGTGTGTCTGTTTTTAATGCCAGTGATATGCGGTTTGGGTTATAATAGGCATGTAGAATGTTTTGAAATCTTGCATTGTGATGCATCCAATTCTGTTCTTAATGTTTAAAATTTCTTTATTGTTCATGGTTTTTTGTGTTTCTTTATGAATTTTAATATCTTTTCTAACTTGTGAAGAATGCTTTTGGCATTTGGTTGACGATTGAGTTGAATCTGTGCCTAACTGAATAATATAGACAGTTTGATAATACTAGTTTTTTTCAGCTCATCATCATGGGAAATGATTTCCATGTCTTTGGTGTCCTCTATTTATTTCATTAGTTTTTTATATTTTTCATTGCAGCAATCCTTCACATCAGGGTTCAATTTATATCAAGATATTTATTTTATATAGTTACTGTCAATGGGATTGCCTTGATAAGTTCTTCTGTAGTGAAATAAGTTCTTTTGTAGTTATAATCATGCTACTGATTTTTGTGTGTAGATTTTGTGTCTTACAACTTTGCAGAATTTATTAATCAGTCGGTTGGTAGCAATTTCTGGTTCTCATGTGTATAGAGTCATGCCACTTATGGACAGGGATTATTCAACTTTCTCTTTTTCTATTTATGTATTTTCTTTCTTTCTCCTACTCAATGATTCTGGCTAAGAGTTTCAGCACTGTCTGAATAACAGTAGGAAGAATAGATTTGTCCACTAAAGACCTTCACAGAAATGCTTTAGTCTTTTCCCAACTCAAAATGATATTTACTTTTGGGTTTGTTATATATAGTCTTTTCTGTGTTGAGGTATGTTCCTTCTGTACCTAATTTGTTTATATTTTTCATTCTGTTCATGTAATTTATATATTGGTCTGTATATGTTATATATTGGTCTGTATATTTTCCCATATCCATGGGAAAAATTTCACTTGGCCATGGTGAATGCTCTTTTCGATGTGCTATTGTATTTGGTTTGCTGTTTTTATTGTTTTGAGAATTTTTGTCTATGTGTTCAAAAGGGACATTAATCTATAGATATCTTTTTTCTGTGGTATCTTTCTCTGGGTTTGGAATCAAAGTGACATTGACATTGATAACGAGTCTGAAATGGTTTCTCACTCATTCTTTTCCCTTTTGTGATAATTTGAGAAGAACTGATACTAGTTCTTCCTTTAGAGATTTTAGTGTTCAACTGTGAAGTCACGCTGTGCTGACATTTCTTTGTTGGGATCCTCACTATTTATCTTTTTTTAAAGATTTACTTATTTTTATCGGAAAGGCGGATATACATGGAGACGAGGAGAGACAGAGAGGAAGATCTTCTGTCTGATGGTTCACTCCCCAAGTGACCGCAATGGCCGGAGCTGAGCCAATCCGAAGCCAGGAGCCAGGGATTAGAACCGTCACCCCTGTGGGATCCTGGCATGTTCAAGGTGAGGGCTATAACACTACACTGTTGCCCTGAGATCCTCACTGTTACTGGTTCACTTTCATCATCACTTTGGTGTTTTGTATGTTCATAATTTAAGTATGGTAGGCTTTTATATTTCCAGACTTAACCATTTCTTCCAGGTTTCACGATTTATTGGCATATAGTTTGTCATAGCAATTCCTCATATTTTATATTTCTCTTGCTTCAGTTGTAATATCTTTTATCTCTGATTTTATTGATCTGTGTTTGCTCCTTTTCTCTCAGTATAGCAATTTATTTCATTATTCTTTCATAATTTTCATGGTTTATTTTTATTTACTTGTTCTCTAATCTCTATTGCTTTTTTCTTCTAACTTGGAATGGTTTGTTCTTGATTTTCTGGGTCCTTGAGATGCAATGTTAGATTGTTTCTACTTTTTTCCCCCAAAAACTTATTTTACTCATTTGAAAAAATTACAAAGCATTGGATAGGGAGAAAACTTCTATTTTGATTTCTTCCATTTCCTAATGTTCCCTCGGGAGCATGCTGTTTATTATCCATGCAGCTGTATAATTTATAGAGCTTGTTTAGTTGTTAATTGAAAACTTTGTTTCATTGAGGTCAGAAAAGACACATATTTGTATTTCTTCGAAGTTTCTTTAAATTTGTTTTGTGGCATATGGTCTATTCAAGAAGGTAATGAGGCTAATGAGGAGAATTAATCTGCAGTTGTTCGATGCTAATGTTTTGTGGATGCTAATGTATTCTTTTTGTATTTAGTGTAGGTTAAGATTAATCCTGTTTGGCCCAGTGCAGTAGCCTAGTGACTCTAGTCCTCCTTTGCATATAGGTGCCAGTTCTAATCCCGGGTGCTCTATTTCCCATCCAGCTCCCTGCTTGTGGCCTGGAAAGCAGTTGAGGACGGCCCAAAGCCTTGGGACCGTGCATCCATGTGGCTCCTCGCTTCTGGTTTCAGATTGGCTCAGCTCCGGCCATTGTGGCTGCTTGGGGATGGAAAATCTTTCTGTTTCTCCTTTTCTCTGTGTATCTGCCTTTCCAGTAAAAGTAATAAATCTTAAAAAAAAAATCTTAATGAAGAAGGAAAACAACTCCGTAGTAGTAACATTTCACTAAAAAAAAAATTAATCCTGTTTTTTATTTGTTGATTTGTTGTCTGGGTGCTTACATTGGTGAGTGTGGTGCTAGAGGTCCTAACGTTCATATACTGGAACCTGTGTCTTCCTTCAGAGTTACAACTTAAAAAGTAATAAAACGAAGTGCTCTGGCATTGCATGCCTGCACATTTACAATGGTTACATCTTGTTGAATGGATCTGTTTATGTTTAATAGTTTAATAGTTAATAGTTAAATCGTTAGTAGTTTAATAGTTTATGTTTAACTGATGGCCTTTTGTCAATTCTCCAGTCAGTTTCTGTAAACACTTTTATCTTTCCTAGTTCTGACTGTATTGAATTGTTCCAAGTCATGGAGTGAGGTCATGCACAAATTTTTCTATTCAAGGTTTTCATTTTTCTTTTTGATGACTGACAAAATAAACATTAATATCTATTTTAGATAACCTGTTGTGTTATGTATTGTCAAATTTTGATTATGTGAAAAGGGTTGAGTGCTAAAAAATTTATTTTTGGATATGTGCTTATTTTGAAATATTTGAGTAAACACTTGAACTGTAGATGAATCTGGTCAACAACAGGTTGAATTGCCCTATGTGGATGAGATTTTTTTTACCATGATGAATAGAGGATCCCATTTTGAGCAGATACTTTAAGTCCCTTTGGCATCTTTGACAGGTTTTTAGACAGTCAAAATCCTAAATTCTTCAGCTACTGAGATTCCCAGTTGGGCCCTTGGTGATGTCAGTGGACGTGTCCCTCATCTTCCAGAGGTGGTAGCTAAGCAGGTTATTTAGAATGTTTGGAAAGTACTTTTAATAAGCAAATTGATGCCAAGCTTCACAATAGGTTAACATAGACATGTTATTCATGTAAAATTTCTAGAAATTACATAAAATTTATAAAAGTCTGTTGAGTGTTATCAGCCATGATGGCTATCTTGCTGAAAATGAGGCCTAGAAAATTCAAAAAGGACAACCACATTGTAAAAGACTTTGGTTGCTTTCCGAATGCCATGTGGAATGAATGCAAGGGTCCTTTCTTGTCAATACTGAGTTTTAAAATTTTAACCATGGGTATTTAGAGGTTTTTTTTTGCCATCCATAGTTTTGCATTTTTCTCTAAGATTGTGAAATTTTGTGAAAACTCTAAATTTATGAAAACTCCAACAAATGTCCTTGAATAGCAAGTTTCTGATAGTTTTGATCGGATAAAAGGTTATAGACCTCTGAAGAAAAGGGACTAAAATCCATAAAACTTTTAATGCAGAGTGAGCAAGAACAAACCATATGAGATTGATTGAATTCATAAAATTTGTGAATTTCTGTGTTTTTTGTTTAAAATATTGGTGGCTCATACCTGAGTGCTTTCTCTCCTAGGTTTGGGAATTCTTTCCTGTGATTTGGGTTATTTCCAGTGCTTTGCAAACAGATGGTGATACTTATTTACCTCTACTGAATCCTGGCAAAATGCAAAAACTTAAAGAATTTTTTGGTGGCACTGTGTTTGTGTGAGTTAGATAAGAATCTGTTACTCCTCACTAAGATACTGAAGATTTCTCTGCACATTCCTCCTAAAACTGTTCAGCGCCTCAACTGTTGACAGATGTCTTGTTAGAGTTATAAGCCAGTTTAGACTATCCTAAAATCTGCCAAAATTATGCTTCAACACTATAAACTGCTAAATACTAAAATTAGAATAGACATGAGACAGCTGAATAGTAATCTATAGCCATTTTAAGGTGTATAGAACCCGGTTATATATAAACTAAAATTGAAATGTCAATGAAGTAGTCACACAATGTGGTTAAGAACTTGTATTCTTTAACATATTGGTTACTCAATATCATGACAAATGATTCCATAATGTTGTAAATAGTTGTTGATATTATGTTGTGGCTTTTAATTAATTGGGATGATATTCTGCCAGCTCTGCCTTCAGACCAGAGATGGTCTCCTCAAGAAACCGTTGAATTTATCTGGACAATAAGATGCTGGACTCTATGCATGGTACATGCTTGCAATGAAAGAATCTTGACTGGATTTGAACTGTAATACTGCAACAATGTGGAGGAATCCATCATGGGGGGAGGGTACAGGAATGGGTGGGGGTAACCCCAGAGTCTATGAAACTGTGTCACATAATGCAATGTAATTAATAAAAAAAAAGAATCTGTTTTTATCTTAACTGGATAGAGTTGGAAACATGGGCATGTCTAAAATTATGCACAGAATGCCTGGCTTTGTAGTAAGTGAATGGAGTTATCACTTCTTAATAGGCCGTTAAATTTAAAAAAGTTTAGGTACTGTACTTGATAAAATTTAATTATGCCTTGGATTGACTTTAAATTTGAGAGTTTTAAAGCATGGAATTATTATATGTACTTAATGCAAATAGCCAATCAACTATAATGGGTTTGCTTTTTATATTAACTCTGTTAATTAATTTTAAACTTTCTAACCTTGACAATTTTCTGGATCTGATGGCTGTATCATTAGTCAATCTCCCTGTTGAACTACAGGAATATTAAGTTATAATATGTATGCCATCAGATTGTATTTCTCTTCATTGTTTCTAAGACATCAGTTTGATTCATTATGCTCTGGTTAGATTTGTTACATATGATTGCTTTGGGGCTTTATGCTGATTGTCTATAAGACTTACACAGAAGCGTTATTCCCAGCAAGATTAATCTGACCTGGCATTTGAGAATGATGGAGCAGATAAAGTGAACAATGGTCTCCAGGGAAAGTAACCTAAGAATCACTCCTTCCAAGGCCTTTTGTTATTTGAATGTAAATAAAAGAGTATTTGAAACTGTCTCTTGGTTATCAAATGCTTCTCTCTCAACAAAGGACTAGATCAACAACCAGGTCAAATTCAGCCTGGCAGTGAAGGACAAATGTAAGATGATTGACTCCATCTTGATTTTTTTATTCTCTCTCTGTCATTGAGATCTACTTCTGAAACAAGGACTGATCAATCAAAGGGAGATTGCAAGCACCGCTGACCAATCAGGAACATGGACATGAGCCAATCACACTTTTCTCAGCCTCAGTTTCAGTCTATGAGTATCTTTACCCCTAAATCCTCAGGGATCCCTGGAACTAATCAATAATTGCTTGGCTCCTAGTCCTTCACTTTTTGATAAATACCTAATCTCTCCTGTCACTGTAACATCAGTAATTGACTTTCTGTATATTGAATGAATGGAACTGGTTTGCGGTCCTGTAGAATACCTCCAACTAGTTTGGGAAGCTGTCTGGCAAAAATCACATTGTGAGTATGAAAACAGAGAAAGGGAGAGAAGGTACATCAAGTTTGAACTTAAATAATGATCAACTCTCTTATGAGAAAGATTGTCTGAGGGCATATCCTCAGTGACCTAAGTACTTCCCACTGGACCCATCTCCTATCTGCCACAATTAGATCTGACCTCCATCCCTAATCCGTCAACTATTAACATGAAGACATCAGTGTTTAAGCATCCACATGAGTTTTGAGGGAAAAAAATTCTACTTAACCCACAGACTTTCTTTGCTGTTTTCCATTTTCCCTTATTCTTTTCATTGAGCAGTGATACTTCAAAAGATCTCTCCTAAAACTCAAATCCCTACCTTTGTTTGACATTGCTAGTGTGTGTTTCTTTAGCTTGATGTAGTCTCTTATTAAGGTCTTAGCTGTATTTTTAATTTAATTTGCTAAATCTTTTTCAAAATAATTATTTCTGAGCTTTTTGCTACCTCTATCACTGTGTATCAATTGTTGAATTGTCTGTGTGTATTCTTTTCTCTCTCACTGACTGTTGTTGAGCCCATTACTTTGCAATCATTTGTTTTTTCCCTTTGGGATCTGTTGATACAGCATTGCCATGTTCCTTTGTGACATCACATTATCTGTTTTTCCTTCATGCTACTTGGGTCCCTGTGTTATCTGTATGTTTGGCTGATCCACTGTTTTTGTTATTGACACTTTAGGAAGACTTTCATAGTAAAACATTCTCCTTGTGGTATATGCTGGGGTATTGTTGGAACGAGTCTCACTTGCTTTGGTTCCAGGTATTTGATAGGATACTTGCATTGCTTCTTCAATTGTCATCCATGTCTGTTGATATCTTAGGAACCCAGGTTGCTGAATGTGGAGTTTTGTGATCAGATGGAGTTTCATTGTCATGGTTGGGGAGGGTTCACTGGTCATTCTGGTCAGAGTGTATATAGATTTAGGTGTTGTCTTGTCTGTTAGTCTTCCACAGGTTGTACGGGACTGGGGCCACTTATGATAGCCCATTCCAGTGAGCTGTGGCTGCATAATTCACAGCGGGTATTACCCAATGTGCCCGGTTGTGGTGTAGAGTCAGGGTGTTCATGAACATCCTGATGCTGTGTGTGGGGTTAGTAATAAGAGGATTGGTGTACTCACCCACTTCTGAGGACCTCACTGGTCTACAACATTTAAAGTCGGCTGCTTGGCTGCTTTCCAGGGCCATAGTTGTGTAGGAGCAGCTGCTTGGATGATTCCAGGGGTTATGAATGACTAGGTGGGCAATCTGCTTCCCAGAGTGTCAGTGGCCTGATCATCTAGTTCAGGGGTCAAAGGGAGGATGGACAGTACTTCCTGACTGATTTTCAGGGGCTTCATTAGGGACTCAGTACAGGCTGCCACGCTATTTCCTGGGACTTTAGGAGTGTAGGCATGCTAATTCAGCTAATTTGTAGGGCTGGGCTGGGTGAATATCTAGGGGGCAACTCTTGACTTCTTTATAAGACCTTAAGTGGATGCCTGAGTGGGGAAAGTTATAACATGTGCTGTGCTATTTCCCTTGGACAATGCAACCGCGTGGTAACCCAGAAGCTCCCTCTGATGGGCCTAGGACCTGTGAGGGCTGCAGGCACCTTCAATAGCACATCCTTCAGCTATCTGTGGCATGAGTATCTCTGCTGCCTATCCTTTCCCTGCCATAATCCTTTTAGGCTTGCTATTAATATTAAGAGTTGCCATGGTGAATGTTGCATACTTTATTCCCGTTTCTATGAGGCCATTGTGTAATTCTAGACTCCGCAGTATCTCTGCCACAGCCCTAGAGCATTCCAGAATTCTGCCTCACATATGCCAGTGGAATCTTTTTTTTTTCTACTCCTGGAAAGTTTCAAGTTTTTTATGTTAGCTTAAATATAGTCTTTCAAATTACTTCTTAGGCAAATCATCAGACAGGTCAAATAGTGATAGCTGTGTTTGCCATAATATTTAGGAGGATTTTTTTCCAAGGCTATACGTAACTAGGGAGTGGAGAATGGAATTAGGATGTTTTAAAACAACCCAAACTCATAGCCTCCCTGAGAGTGGTGGAGTTTTCTTGAATGTTTCACTAAATATCTGAAACAGATCTCACATTTTTTGGTTAGTTTTGTGCTGCCCTTGTTGAAGGTCTAATTTTTAGTAGTCCTATTTTCTATTCTTCCCTGAAATCACCTCCATGTCAACTCTTTGTGTTGGAGAAAACACACTCTTCTTACTTTGAATACTTAAAAATTCAATGTCATTTTCTTTCACACAATACCATTTTATAGGGAAAAAGCCATGACATCATCTTCATCATGTACATTACATTTTCCAAAGTTAAGTGAAAAATGCATTTGCATCATGACTAGGTACATTTTTCCTATCAAGCTGATTTGATGAGTAATTTTGCCCGTATTGTTCAACAGCGATGATGATCAGGTTTTACCTTCCCCAGTTTAGCGTCCTTCTTTTCTTAGCAAATGGTGAATGGGCACCAGAGCTCATGGTGAGGGCAGTAACTAAACAGAACTCAAGTGTCAGGAATTCCCAATCTGCTTCCACCATAGCTCCCCTTGTGGTTGTACCTACCTGGACAGTAATGCGAGGACAAACAAAGGTAGAGACATAGCCAGATGTAGCGTGTACCAGTCTCGAATGGCAAAAGCCAGTCCTCCTAGGAGCATCTGCCCAACGCTGTAGGAACACAGGATCAGCGTTACACCTATATACTGTGATTTGGGCCCTGTCCATTCAGATACTGGAAAAAGAAAATGACACAATTTTAGACAAATGGCAATTTCAAAGCCGACTGAATGTGAAGGCACAGTGATAGTCTCAGATGACAGACTTACCTAGGTTGAAAGAGTTTGCCATAATATTTATGGTAGTTAATCCAGCCAAGAAGCGCAGTATACAGAAAGTGAGGATGCTGGGAGCAAAGATGGCACAGGTGTCAGCGAGGGCTGTCTGGAGGAGGCACCACGTGTATATTCCCTTCCGGCCATACCTTAGAAATAACATAAAATAACATAACGTAGCAAGAAAAATAGTATGTGGAAGTCTTGACAAAAGGTGAGACATCTTGAAATTTAGTGGAACACCAAATTTAACTATTTAACAAGTGGAACACTGCATTATCGATCTGGTAGAATTACTGTCTTTGTCAACACCAGGAATCACAGATGTAGCCTATTTGTCAGCACAAGAGTGTTATAACTCTCCTGGCCAGCCATCACCAGAAAGACTTATTCTACATGAAACCATAGAAAACAGAATAGGATATGGGAAATTATCTCAAATATTTTTTACACAAATACATGCACTGAATTACAGTTAGCTTGGATGTCACATTTAGAATAGTGAGAGTGAAGTCTAGAGAGCTGTTCTTTGTCTCTGCATTATCAAAGCAAAGCTTTTCACAAAATAAAGGTACCCCGTTAGCCAGTCCTTAGTCAAATAGAATACTGCTCTATGGTAACAATCCTATCTTGTACCGTCTCTTAGCCCCTATTCCCACCAAAGGTATCTAATGTTACAACTTCTACAGAATGTATTAATTTATTTGCTTTTGATTTTTATCAAAGTTGGAATCATATATAATTCTGTTTCATACATATGGCAATAGCTTGCTTCTGTTTATTGTTGTTTGCAAATTTAGAGAGGGGCAGGCATTGTAGTGCAGTAGGTTAAGCCACTGCTTAGAATGCTTTCATTCCACGTAAGAATGCCACTTCAAGTCCTAGCTAATTTGCTTCTGATCCAGCTTCCTACTAGTGCATTCTGGGAGGCAACAAATGATGGCTCAAGTGCTTGGGTGCCCGCTTCACACATGGAGACCCCAATAGTTCCAGGCTCTTGGTTTACTAAGTGCATTTTCCGCCATTAAGCTGAATTTATAATCAGTTCTGTTCTACTGGGCCACGTGGATGACTACCCAGTATTTGGGGTGTGATCCAGTCACAGAAGATCTATCCCTCTCGGTCATGGCCTTTTTAGAAGAAAATTAACAAGCAGACATCTAAAATGAATTTACATAAATATATCACATTTTCCATTCTTCTATCCCTGAGTATAAACTGAACTTACATCTCAAGAAGACACTTTAACATTTTCTTTGAATTGTTTCATTCTTTAATTCACTTCCAAATTTGAATTGTAGTACTGAGCCTTGAATCTGAACACTAGAAGTGAGTAGACTGTATACATGTAATATTTAACGGTGCAAACTCAAAGGTCCTAATTTTTAACTAAGACAAATGATGACACTGAGCATCTGTGGTCCTTGAGTCTGTGAGACACGCTTGAATGATAGGCAAGGTGATTGTCCGCTTTTGCAGGTGCTCTTCCAGGCCACAAGAAGTTTCAAGCTTCTCAGTTCATGGTCATCCTATATCATTAGTGTAATTTACACTGTATGGTTGCAAAAATTACCTATTGGACTATTTCAGAAAGCTCAGAATGCCTTCTTAACCCAGCAGGAATACATTGCTTCACAATCAACAGATTTTGTAATGATGATTGCACACTACGGGTACATAATGCTGTGGGCATGCAATGAGGACCAGTCTGTAAGTGTCCATTACTACATCTATTGCAGGGTCTAGGTGTTTTAGACAATTGTCAAGACCAATAACACTTTTTTTCCTTTGCTCTTGGACATGTAGGAATCTTCTGTCTCACTTCTCCTTTCTCTCCTTAGGTTGAACTCTAACACCTAGCCCTCATATCTTGGAACATGCTCTGAAAAGCCCTCTTGAAATTTGTTTGAGTCTGAATTAGAAGGCTTCCTATGTCTTCCTTCATGCACACAATGAACAGATTTATCACAGCTAATTATAATATTCAGATCACAACCAAACACTCTTATCTGACCGGAGCTCCCTGAAATCAAAAGTAGAAGTCAGTATGTTGCATAATATAAAGTGCACAGCATAAGCACAGCGAAGATTTCTAAAATAAGTGAATGCATGAATTGTATGACCAACAACCCAGCAGAAAGTGAAGTGACACTTACCTGTCTGAAAGACGACCAAATATTAGACCTCCCAGTAGTGACCCACTCATAAAGAGCGTTTGAACCACTGACTTTAACGACCGAGATTCACATACTAGATTCCACTGGAAGAGAAAAAAAAGTACAGCAGAATTTTAGGGGTATTTGATCCTTTTTGTTGACCCTGATCCGTGACCTCCTGCTATGGAGGTCCCCACCCAGCTTCATCTATGGTCACTCTCCTCTGGTTGCTCAGACTCTAAACATACTGCACTCATTTCCATCCTTCAAATGTAACTTCCTTTCACCTGATATCCGTCCAGTCATCTGTAATTATGTGTTGGTACATCTAATTAATTTTCCCGTTGATCTGAAACTCCCTTTATTATGGTAGTGTCAACACATTTTGGGTGCCCTAACTTAAAGTATAAAAAATTAATTTAAAAATCTTCGCTTATCAAATTGAAAAAAGTGTTTCTAGAAAGTTTCTTTCATCATCTTATGAACATGCTGCCTAACACTACATACCTAGTTACTACGATAATTATTTACATGGTTTTAAAGACTTTTTATACAGGAATAATTTTAAATTCATGAGACAAAAGTTTTAGCATTGTACAGAGTTTCCATATACCCTGCACCCAGCTTCTGCTATTTTGTCCCAATCCATAGATTGTTCCTATTTTCCCAGCTTTTAATGTACAGATTCCCTCTATGCCTCCCTTGTTGTCTATCCTCTAATTTTCTTGAATGTGTAGGAATCTTCACCTAACCAACATTGTGTGTTCATACCGATAGCATGTTTTTAACGCCCCCATAGCAAGAGAAACATGCAGTATTTGCCTTTCCATGTCTGACTTATACCACTTAACAGGACATCCTCCAGTTCATACATTTTGTTGCATATGATAATATTTGATTTTTTAAATGGCTAAGTAAAATTCCATGTGTATGTAAGCCGTATTTTAATTATTCCTTCCTCTCAAGATGGGCATCTTGGTTGATTCCATATCTTGGCTGTTGTGAACAGTGATAACTGGTAGATCAAGTGTCTCTTTGATCAACAATGTCACGTGCTTTGGATGCATATCTAGTGTATATTGTTGAGTTATTACCCAGTAAGATTCCTGAACCACACAGCAATTTTTCAGCCTTTGCAGGCCTAAAAGAAATCTCTAAATCGTTTTTCACAGTGGTTATCCTAATTCCACTGCAATGTATAAGACTTCTTCTTTATTCACATCCAGGATAGCACTTTTTTCCCCAGAATTTTAAAAATAGCCATTCTAACGGGAGTGAGGCAATACTTTTATTGTGGATTTGATTTTCATTTCCCTGATGATCAGTGATAAGGTCTATTTTTTCCTTAGTATCTGTTGGTGATTTGTACTGACCATACATTGAATCAGTTTGAAATCTTCAACAATATTAAATTCTGGATCTTTTGTCTACAGGTTTTGAAATACTTGATCTGTGCATCCATTTTCAGTAAGCACTAAGAGTAACTGAATTACCACTTGTCTAATGATACTTCAGTTACTTTGAAAATTGTAGATTAGCCCCACTCTATTAGGTGATATATGACATATTTGCAAGTAGGTTTATGTTTAGTTTGTTCACCAATCCCTTCTGGTACACAAATAAATTGCAGTATAAACAGTTGTTAACTTCTGAAAAAAGAAAAGGCAAATGACAGTGTCCATCTGAGGAATCAGTCCAAAAAGAAATTCCAGTCTATATGTTAATTCAAAACACCTTCAATTCATACGATTCTCTATAAGGCGATTTAAATGAGCATTCTTACCTTAGTCACGATGGTGGAGAGGAAGTAGCTTTGGTCATACACCCAGCCATCCACACAGGGCTCTGTGTCTGACTCACTTATGTTTGAGAGGGTCCCATTCAGGTGAAGGAGCTGCCACTGGGGATGGATAAAGCGATGACACTTCTCTGGCTTCAGGTTTGAGTCCAGGGGGATGGAGACTCTCAGGAGATCATCCTGGCTGAGGATGCCAGTGTCATTGTGGGAGACAGTGTGATTGTCAAGGAGAGGGACCCAGCAGCGATGCTCAGGGATGGCTGCAGTGAAGTTCTCCAGCAGAAGATGAGGGTATGCTATCATGTTGGCAACAAAAAAGAAAGCAATCTGAAGGATCTGGAATCTTCCCAGAGTTCCAGCTTGATCCAGGAGCTCATCAAAGGCCATTGAGGCTGAAGGGCTTGTCTCCAAGAGGAAGCACAGCTGTTTTATGGAGAGAAGTTCAGAGGAGATGATGTTTCCTTTCACCAAGTCCACTAACTGTAGACTTAGACTCCACTCTCCCTTCAACAGGCCCTGACTTACCACTGTAGAAGAGCACAGACAAAAGTCCCCAAGGTTTTTTGTTCTTTGCTTTTGGTTTAAAAATGTCACAGATATAATGTTTTGGCAAACAGACTTGTTGATGACTGGTCCTGCTCAGATCGCTTGCCTGTGAGTGATCCTCACCCCCAAGACCTGTGAGAGCTGAGCAGACTTTCAGGTACATGTAATTTCCATATGGCCTAAAGTACACATGCCCAGGCATCTGTTGTCATTTTCAGAGGGATGTTGCAGACCCACAGTGATGTGCTTGATGTTGTCTCCATAAACCACAGGGCAGGGCTTTTCCTTGGTTCACACTGAGCTTTGACTCTGGGTTAATGAAAAGTCTCTTTAGTTAAAATAAAGCAAGGTGGAATGCTGAGTGGAAATGCTGACTTCTGATCACTGAAGTTCTGCTTCAGTTAAATCATACCGGTGACAGTCATTTTAAGTTTTTCTGCAATAATGAAATTAGGATAACGGGCAAGAAAGAAGGCAGTAGTATGAAGTCACCGTTACAAACGTTATTATCTTCCAGTTAATAAAATAATAAATTAGGACGCCTTCTCATCCACTTCATTTTATTTTTTTATTGAATACTGTTATACTTTAAGGCATTGGGAATTTGGATTTCAATATGTGAGTTTTGGCAGAGTGGAGACAAAATGCAGCCCATGATGAAGTTATGCAGTCCGTTTATTAGTTTCCTAAAGCCATGAACAGTATGTAAAAGTAGCAAGATGGGAATCAAGCAAGGCAAACCATTTAGAACTTTATCAGTAGATTTTACAAATAATGACAATGAAAGTTGGCAATTCACTGAATATTCACTGTGACTGAATGATGTAATCATTTTTAACATTTTTTCTTTTTATACTTATTTTCTTTCCTTTACACTTTTTGTCTTCCTTTCATCACTGAAAAAACAGGTTTAGAGAGATTATGTAACCTACCTAAGGATGGATATACCAACTTAAAAGATGAAGAAAAATATGGACAAAGGTAGCTCTAACTTGAAGAACAAGTTCTTTGCTCAATGTAATGGACAAATTTTATTATTATTTGTCATCAACATACTGAGAAATAATGAGAGTCAAAGTGTGTGAGAGAGAAAAAGCAAAAATCATGACATCTCATTCTTCACGTTTCCCAGAAAACAGACAAGTTGAATAGAGGAAATGAGAAAGTATCATAGTAATCCAATGAAAATGCAAAAAGGAAAGAAATGAATGTTCTTTGTTCAAAAAAATAATGCTTCTGTAAAAATGAGGAAATAAAGGAAGATGCCCAAGTGCAAGTACTGGTATTGGGAATAAAACATTAATATTTGCTATGTGTATCTACTGTGTATTCATCTGAGAGTCATCGTTTTCCTTATTTTATAGGAAAACATAATATGCAAAAACGTCTTACTATTTCCCTCATTGGTTGATGGGCCTTCTGGTGTGAGCACTGTAGAAAACTTAGAAAATCTGGCAGAGGCCCAGTGTTGGGTACCCAGGAAAGGATTTGACTGATGTGGTCAATGGAAGACCAGATAACCAGGAAACCGCATAATTGTGCAATCATCTGTAAAATTCTCAGAACATCTTCATAGTAACAGGCTTTATTTTTAAATTAGCCTCTGTATTATTTTCAGGACAAAAGAAGTCCAATTACTGTGGATGTTTATTTATTATCAGATGGAGGAGATGGGGAGATGTTTGTTGTCTTGCCAGTGCTGAATTCCCAGTTGGAACCTCTGTCATTCTGCGATTTGTGTCTCTGGGCTCTCATATTCTGCTCCATCCCCTTTCTTTAAAGCACGATTGTTCTACATTTTCCTTAGCAAGATACTTGCATGGGTTGCTGCTATGTTCAGTCCTTTTATTTATAGATTCAATGGAAACTTTTCAGTGATATGATGGGGTGAGGTTAGTATCCATGTTTGTTTTTGCTTTTTGGAGTCTGATGGTACTGAACCACATGAGAAATGTTGACAAGATGAGAAATTCTTAGAGTTCAAGAGAAAATATGGCAAAATAGGGTGAAGACAGGTCTAAACAGATGGAGAGGCATTAGTCAAGGTGAAGGAGAGAGGGCGCAATTAAGAAAAATAGGAGAGGACAGGTTGATGACACAGGGATATCTGAAGACCCATGGACATGAGAAAGCAGCAAAGGAGAGTTAGCTGAGATCTCAAGAGCTGAACCCACAATTGTCCATCCTGCTGATTTTTCAAATCCAATCACAGCAGAAATAGTGGCAGAGCCCAAGCATTCTGGTGCAGGAACAGGATAGATTTCCTGGTCCAAACACCAAGCAGTGTTACATCATGTACTATTTTGTGTACTGAGGAAAAGGCTGTGTGGCTGGAGGGACAATGGTGAGCTGTACACGTGATAAGGCAGGACAGAACTCATTTGCAGATTAATGCATTGCACTGATCCAAAGGAAAACATATCACTTTGGCTTCCTACAGAATCCTAACAGATCTGGGCCCTGAGACCCAATGGCCAGCAGGTTCTGGCAAGAACAGTATCACTGACAATCCTGTGATTTAGGACAACCAGTGTCTTCCTAATTCCATTTATTATTTGAACCAGGAGTCGGACAGAGGCTGAGCAGGCAACAGTGTGGCCATATCACATGATCACAGGAGTCAAAGGGTAATAAGCTGGGATCTGGAGTTTTGGAAACCACAGTGGAAGCCTAACATAAGGGCCTGAGACTCAAACTTGCTGGAGAGTGGCACAAGTGACTGCAAATGAAGAACTGGATATTTGACAAGACCAATAAAGTCATCTTTAGACCTGTGGACAACACAGCTTAGTAACCATCCCGAAAGGTTAAAATAAATACTGAGAGAGTTAATTGTAAAAGTGACTGTATGCCTGGAAGTCTGGACCCTCCAGAGACTTGTCTGCACCCTGTTATGAGAACACCAAGAAGCAAAGAGGAGACAGGCAGTTCCTGGGAGTGTTAAAGATTAATGGGACAGACAGCTACCTTTGAAACATCCTGTATACCATTGTTTGCATTGAAGTGATAAGGTCAGAAACCCGTGCTTATACATTGTTAATCCTTACCACCTGCTTTCTGCTCTGTGTCACGTAGAGGCCCACCATCGCATAGATGTCCACTGCCGTGTACATAACCAATGTCATGTAGATACTTACTAAATCCTCCTGTGCGTCACTTAATTTGTTCAAGGCACTTCTTTGTTCATGGCAAGAAGTGGCTGCCTGATTGAAGAATACAGATATTTCACTTGCCTTGGAATCTCACTCGATTTCTTTGAACCCCAACAACTGGCATTCAATGTTTAGGGCTTGATGAAGGCCGTGAAAGTGAAAGGACTGCTGAATGCTCAAGGTATGTAAACTTTGAGCATTTCGTTTAATATGGGAAATTCTAGTTCAGTCCAGGAACAGTATGTGGAGCTTCTCCAGGGTTTGCTGCAGGGTACTGGAGTTAAGGTAAAAAAGAGCTAATATGATGCTTTGTTCTCTTTAATTGCTAAGCATTGTTATTGGTTTCAGCCTTTTGGTAGATGTGTGTTACAAAGTGTGGGAAAAGGTATTAAGAGCTCTCAAGAGAGTGCAACAACAAGAAGAAACGATCTCTGCAGAAGTTTGCACTTTATACTTCCTGTTTCCTTGGCTTTACAGCTGCTGCAGTCAGGCACGGAGGCATCCTGAGTCCCATCAGAAACCGAGCCTGCTTCTCTTAAAGAAGATGGAGAGTTAAGGCCATATCAATCAGCCGACAAACTGGCTTCTCAACCTCTTCCACCTTCACCGATAAATGTAGATTTAGTTCAAACAAAGGAGGAAAGAGCACATCCCTGGACCAAGCACTCCTCACAGACTAGGGCTTGATCTACAGGCCTTTCTTGTTCATCATCTTCCTCTTCAAACAAACCAAATGACTCAAAGTTCTGAGTCTGAGTCCAGTTCTTCCAAATGGATAATGACTAAAAGTCAATATTGCCTCCTTCTAAAGGAGATCAGAAAAATAATGGTTTCTGAACTTGAGACTATGGAAATTGTACCTAAAAAGTAACAAAAATATACACATACTCCTCCACATAAATCTACCTCTTCTGCTCTGTTTCATGAGCAGCCGTCATGCCATCCAGCTTATAAGGTTCCAATATGAGCCTCTAACCTTCTTCCTCTTAATTATCAGGCATACCCAGTTACTATTAATTTTATCCCACCTGAAGAGGCAGGACCTGAGAATCCTAGGGGAACTGATGTATTGGAGCATCAACATTTTAGTATAAATGCTTCCATAAAACTCAAAAAGGCAATAGTTTCTTATGGAACACATTCTTCTTTCACCAGAAGGTTATTAGAATAATTGGCTACTCAATACGACATGATTCCATATGACTGGGAAAATTTAGCTAAAATATTTTTTGAAAGAAATTTGTTTTTATAATTTAGAAGTTGGTGTCAGAATGAGGTTCAAAGACAAGAAAGGAGATAACATATGCTGATCGGTTATGCTGATCGGTGTATTGATATCTCCACTGCGCAGCTTGTTGGCCAGGGAGAGTTCTTGGGAATTCCGGCTCAAGTTCAATGTAATGATAGCAATCACTCAGGTTTGTGATAAGGAGATGTGCTTTACAGGCCCTGGACAGGGTAGAAGATTCAAGAACATCTCACCAATCTTTTTGAAGAATTTGTAATGGCAGCCATGAAACTTACACAGATTTTAAAGTTCTCTCTTACGCTATTTCACAGACTGTGAGAAATGCTTTTACAGACTTTGGCTTTAAAAATGCTATTTTAGGCTTCCACCAGCTATAGACCCTATTCAAGCAACAGAAGGTGGCCTTATGATTATATTAAAACTTGGGCCTGGCATGGTAG